CAGCAGGAACTTCTCCCTGGTTTTTCTAACATGCTACAGTAGCAAAAAAAAAAAGCATCTATGTTAGTGTCTAGAAAGCATTCTGAATTTTTTGTCAATGAAAATGAACACGCTCAATTTATGACTACTTCCATTACTACACTATCCAGCAGAAAAACTTGTTTTTATTGATGAATGTCTCAAGGAAGATTCTTAAGGCTGGTTATAAGCTCCACCATGTGGGAGGAAAAAAAAAGCAAGTCTCTGACAAATTACCATGTCAGAAGAGAGAAAGCAGCTTATGCCTACAGTAGTCTGAGGACTGATGTTAACACTGGATGGAACCCAGCATGGACTAGCCTTAGTCTGCATTAAGTGACTGTTCCTGTGCTGTCAGGAATGTAAGCAATAGTTGATCTCTAACACATTAGTTTTGCATCAAAAGATGAAAACACCAAACTGAAAAAAAAAATGTCAAAAAACTACGTTAAACTACAACATAAGCTTCAGGGGTTGACTTAGCCCAAGCTGCCAGTTTGCAACTCAAGTTACATACCGTGGAATGGCCAGCCAATGCAAGAATTCTGATGCAAAATTAACTGTTTCAGTACAGCAATGTGGATTTTTTTGTTTTGTTTTGTTTTTAAAGGTGACAGTTTTCAACCTTGGCATTGGCTCAGCCGAAATGCACCTGCCCGTACTACAATTAAGCAAGTCATAGTGTGTTTGGAAACATACTAGGAGACTTCAAAAGATATTTTGAGCTTAAAAGTAAATTTCATACAATACTCACTTTTCTCTTCTGGTTTTCTCTAACTTGTCTTTCAAAACCATAATTTCCTTCTTGAGGGCAAGCTGCTGGCTCTCTGCATCCCGTAGTTCTTTCTTCAGACTTTTTATTTCATTAGCATGCATTATTTCACGTTTAGATAGTTCCTCTTCATAGAAAACACTTTTCTTTTCCAGGTCTGCCTTTAATTTAGTGATCTCTTGCTGGTGTTCTATACTGCTTACCCCAGGTGAGCGACCAACCTGTTTTTGCTAAAATAAACAGCCCCAAGTTAGCACTCAAGAATGCTGAAAATGATGCTTAATAACAACTCAATATTCCTAAGTCTGTGTTTAGAAAATACCCCATTACAGACTTGAGTTAAACATATCTATCTCAATTATTTTCAAAATTTGATAGAGCATAAATCTGCACCGTACTCTTCATCATTTTGTGATTTAAATGCAGTAATAGTTTTCATTGTTCATCACTTTAAACATCTCTGGCCACATTCCAAGTCCCCTTCCATGCAGCCAGTAATGACCACAGAATTAAAAGATTTTTTATGCTCGCACTCACTTGACAGCAACAAGTTCACGTGACTTTCAGGAACGTAGAACAAGGACTATGATAGAGTGCAAATATATTTTACAGCACAAATAATTTGTGGAAAAGCCACACTAAGACAAGCAGAGGCTTAACTGAAGGCTAAAATCTAGCTACAGAAACATTATACGGATTGCATCGGTCAGGAGGGGAACCTGACCTATTTTACTTAAACTGACCGTTTATATCATAGTGGATTAATAGGAAAAACAAGTTCTAAACCATAAGAGTAATTACTTCACTTTTTCGCAGCTGCATAGCTCTCTTAGTGAGGTCTTTTAGCATTTCAGTAGTCTTTACACATTGCTTCAGGATGCATACACATTTGCACCAAATGCTGCACTCACTAAACTCAATGTCCTGCCATAACATAGGGGAGGAGCAAGATCAGGTTCAAAACGAGATAGTGGCACGACATGCACTGAAATCCAACTATGGGAATACTTTTAAATGTAAACAGATTTATTACTTGGTTTGGAATTTTTTCAATTTTTTAAAAATACGTAATTAAAGGTAGTCTAAGGAAAGGAAATCGCTTAATAAAAACGATGTGTTTTGAGAAAGTGCAGGTAACTGGAAAACCTGCTTCCTTACGGTGAATGTCTCACACCTTTAGGAGGATTGAAAATATTTTGTTAATTATATCTCCATTCTATGAATGGATGGCATTCCATAAAATATGAAAAACCTCTCAGTCATCCTTAATTAAACATGGCTTTTGGGTAATTTTCTTTTGCTGGTGTGTGAATAGATTTTAAGAGCTAAATGTCACTGTAGAGCATTCAGATAAGCTGAATTTCTACCATGACAAATTCTGTGGGAAAGCTGGGCCTTGCTGTTAGTGTCAGCAGAACACTGCAAAGCCTCCTAAATATATGAGCCAGATATGTGCTGCTACCATGTTGTTTTCTCTAACTCGTCAAAATGACCACCTGTTTTGATCCAAGAGTAAAATCCTGCCCTTAGGATGCAGAATGGTAAATTGGAGAAAAAAGATGCCATCCTAACAGGACACTGATGGTTTGGAGAAAGAAAAATTTAAAATAAAAAATAAAAAATAATTAAAAAAAAAAAAAGGAAGTATAGGAATTTTCTTTTATGCACAGGCAGTTAACTACCAAACTTGTTTGCTACTGCTCAACATGCCTAATTGCCTACATATATATGGCCACGGAGCACATAAGAAGTTTAGGCTTTGCAACATCATCTATCAGGTATGTAAAATGGTTTAGTGGTATTTCACATTTTTTCCACAATGAAAAGATATTATTAAGACCATAAGGCAGATGGTGCAGTAGAAGAGAAAGCTGAATGGTGTTGTACAGTGGCTTAAAGAACTAGAGTAATATAGTAAACAGAGAATATGCTTTGAACTGATGTAAGCACAAATTCCAAACAGGTGTTTTCATACATGCCTGTTTCAAGTGGACAAATGGTGTAACTGAGACATAACGTATCTCCTGGCACATACATAGATAGATGCTGTTTAACGCACCCTCTTGGCTGCCAGGGCACACTGCTGACTCACACTGAGCCTGACTTTTTTTTGAAAATCCAAATATGTGACGTCCACTGGATCTCCTTTGTCCACACACTTTTACCGAGAACTTTGCAGAACCCCAGCAAGTCAGTGTTGCAGGACATGGCTGGACAGAAGGCATGCTGTGTTCTTCCCAATAGGTTCTGCTTCATCCCTGAGCTCACTGACGTTATTCTTTACTACAGCTTCTATCCCTTTCCTAAGTAAGTCTCTCCCACTCCTTTGCAGTTCCCAGGATCTTCTGGATGAGAGTTACAGTGGCACAGTGGGCTGTCTGTAATAACAGGGTGCATATCTTGGCCAGCAGTTCTCTTACTTCTCACCCGAGTTCCTTCAGAACCCCCTCAAGCAAGGCCACCGGTCCAGGTGACTTCACATCTTCACCTGACAAGTCTAATGCTTCCTGCACATCATCCTCAGACTGATCCAGCTCATCTGACCAACCTGCTGCAAAGAATGCCTTCTGTGTGGCAATCTCCCCTGTTTCAGCAGTAAAGTCTGACACACCAAAAACTCGTTGAGCATTTCTGCCGCAACCCTATCAACTCAGAGATTACCTTTTTCATCCCTGCCAACAAGCAGCCCCATGAGTTTTCTAAGGTGCCTTTCTGCTTTTGATTTAAAGAACTTCCCACAATCACTCTGAGCAGCCTTTGCAAAGTCGTCTCTAAATTCTTTAGCCCTCAACATCCTGTTTACTCTTAACATACCATCATTTATGGGCTTTTCTCGTCTCCTTAATTGGAGAAACTTTCCTTTTTTCTTTAAATACTGATCTTTTCTCTATGATAGCCTCCAACTAAGAAGCCATGCAGAGCTTTTACTGAATGGATAATGCAGTATCATAACAACCCCACGTGACACAAAGTGTGCTTATTGTACTGTGAAATATTGCTCAGAAAACTACAAGTCCCCTTTTCCTCTTCAGATAAACTTGCCCTGTTGTTATAAATCAGCATATCATTTACTCTCTACAGATCTCCAATAAATTCTTCTTGCCTTTGTTGTACAAACTCTTTGCTAATGGTGAAGATGCATGAAAGCAGAAGAAATACATCTTAATTTTCAGACAACAATCTGAATTCACAGCAGTAGAAACTTTGCAAATCCAAACTTCATACTGAATGGATTTCCTTATTTTCATTTAACAAAGGAAGGCAAAATAAAAGAATGTTTGGGAAAAAAAAACCCAACCCAAATTTTTTGTGCAGTGACTTAAGGTTGACAAATGACCCACAGAATTCCAATTAAAAAAAAACCCTGTTACTTACTTAAATTAAGACCAGAATAGGCCTAATCTGACATTTTGCACAAAAAGTTTAGAATTATCCTACTTGACGAAACACTGGGAACAGGATTTTGCTGCAAATGAACAGCAATCCTCATGTGGCAATGAAAAACTGTCTCATTCAATTCTTAAGAAAGTCTAAGTTCTTCAGAGCGCTGTACAAAATGCTAAATCATAGAATAAAGTAACAGTTAAAACTCTTGGCTTACTTAAATTTCTGCTCCTAAAAACACATACATGTGTGTGCAATTTCATCAATATGAAAGTCTTCATGCTCAATGTTGTTCTTGTGCAAAAATGTTCCAACTTCTGGCTGAAAGGTGGAATCACTAAAACTTTTCCTTCACAGTTACAGCAGTTGACATCTACAGTGGAGAAAACCATCTTTCTTTTGACTGACATGCTGAGGAACAACACAGTACACAAAACACCTATACAGAAACCTATAGGCTGCAGGTTTATCTTCAAATATTTAACCATCCTACACTAAAAAAAAAAAAGTTTTTAACAGGTAAAGTTAAACAAAGCAAAAATGGAAGCAATTTGGTATGAAATCGAGCAGTGAACACATTAGCCTGAAAAGTGCAATTAGGCAAATGTTTTTGGACAATTTTTCTGGACAATAACACGATGCATGCTTGCATTAATATTTGGCATCAACTGAAGTGACAAACTGACAATACCCTTCTGTCCTACATCTGAAAGTAATCAAACAGATCCAAGTCCTAGTTGACTAGTAAGTCTGCAGGTGTTAATATCAAAACAGACTAACCTTTAGCCCTTCTACTTCGCTTTCCAACTGTTTAGAGTACTGTTCACTCCTCTCTCGCAATTTCCTGTCTTTGGATGCCTCAGCAGCTGCAGCTTCAGCTTGGACTTCCAGCTACAAAAGTACACACGTTTTTAATAGGTAGGATTTTTTTTTTTTTCCTTTTTCCCAAAATCTATTGATGGTTTTCAATATAAGAAATAAGTCTTCAGCACTAAACTCCACACTTCAAATTCTTAGAAAACAGAATCAGTACTGTTTGAAACAACAATCAAAGAGTTAAAGATTTACGGATAACAAAAAAAATTACTTTGTCAGAAAACCTTACGTATAACTACTATTTCATAGATTCTAAACAGTCTTCTCACCACTTACTTCTTTTTTAAGTCTCTCTGTTCTGCGTAACTCTTGCCTTAAACTTTCTACTTTTTGCATCACCACTTCCATTTCTTCCTCCTTATCTCGGAGCTGGCGGGCAAGCTTTTGTTTTTGAGAGTGCAAGTCTGTCAGCCGCTCGTTCATCTCTGAGAACTCCTGCATTGCCAATTTCCGCTGGCTGTGTGCATCTTTCAGCTCTTTGGCTTGGGATTTTAATCTGTCACTAGACTCTGCCAGTTCCTACAGTTTAAAAAAAGAATTAAGTAATAAACCTAGAAAGCTGCAAGGCCAATTCTGTCTTTGGATGCGCATCTAACACCTTCTCCAGAGTGAATAGAAACTACATACTCATTTCTTTTCATGAATACATCTATGATACAGATTGTATGCCTCTATAAGTAAGGAAAGAGGCCAGGTTTTACACTGCTAATGTCAGTAAAACCGCATAAATGTAAACCAAGTAGGAGTTTACTCCGTTTTTACAGATTAAACACAAAGGCTTTCAAGCACTTGCATTACAATACAGAAATACCTTGCTTTCTGAATTAAAAAAATGTCATTAGCATAGTTTTTCAAGAATTACTTAAAGTAGTAAAAAAGAAAAAGTACTTATCTCAACTGCTCAATGATTAAAGAAGGTTTCTCCATTAACTGAATGGGAAACTCTGTTGTATGAAAATTTCTACTTCAGAAGCTTTTGAAAATTGACCTGCAATGGTGAGTATGATTTCCACACATTGTACTATAATAGCAAATATTACAGAAAGTTTCAGGCAACAAAACACTGTAGTGATTAACAGCAATATATGATAATAATTCTTTTAGAAGAACCCACATGGAATAACACTGCCCGTGCTGTGATAACTCTACAGCACAATACCTTCACAAAGCTTGCTGTGTCCTAGATCTGTGCTACTACACTACGAATGAGGGACCACAACAGTTTAAATGGTTTAATGATGTTCAGCCAAACCGGAGCAGAACAAAGAAGCAAGGAAAAGCAAGTCTGAGGATGAAAAGAAGAGCAGCAGAAAGAATTAATATTTGGCACTGTTGACGTCTATACAAATTTAAAAGCATTTTCTAAGGTTGTTAGAAAGAGGCCCTCATCACTACAAGTTGTTTTAGAAAAGAGATGGTCTTTCTTGGACAAACTGGCAGCTTTCAAGGTTTTAACAGCCGTAAGAGTTAAAAGAAACAGTGTTAAATACGGCTGGCACATCAACATTGAGTGTGGACTCTCAGATACTGGGCCAATATAATCACCATGAGAAACAGGCTAATGTATTTTACACCTGATTACAGGTTGATTTAACCATGAATACAAGAGAGACATGAAAAACAGTATGTTATAAATAAGAAAACAAGGAATCAGGGGACAGAGAAGAAGAAATAAAACCTACTATTCTTTAACTGTAGTTAATTCAAACTACTTTTCAATCTTCATATTTGGGAAATTTTTCACATCTCTCTTCTGGAAACACTTCTGTGAAACAGCCTTAATACCATATTCTCAACATTTTCTCCCTGATAGAGTCTCATCCATATTTCAGATTAAATTATTTGTCTGGGTTAGTTCTTCTCTACTCTCTTCTAACCACTATCATTATCACCTTAATCTGAAACTATAAAACCTTCTTTGCAGACACCATGCAGTTTGGATCCTGGAGTTATTCACTGTCTGGAAGCAGTCACCTAGGACCACCCAGCACTCATATATACGACGTGTTAAATAATGCCCTTGTCTTCAAAAAACAGGCAGAAAGCAAAGTAGGTCATGCTACACATTTGTTGTCTGCTCATTAATTTTACACTTGAAAGTTATTTCAAGCAAAATGAACAAAAATAAAGTAGTCTTTAGGGTTTAGAAGAGTTGCTGACAAAATGCTTTTACCTTATTAAGATCTTCCCTCTCTTGCTTCAGCGTTCTGACCTGTTTCTCAAAAGCCTTTATTTGCCTGGAAGCATCATCCAACTCCCGCCTTGCAGTGCTGGCCTCCTCAAGTTGCTGTTCTAGCTGACCAGAATCTAGAAAAAGCAGCAGACTTCTAAATACATTAAGGAAAATATCATTATTCTAGAATAGCACAGTCTAGTTGCTTGAAGGCCCTTCAGTATTTTTTCCAGTTTCCATTTAATCACAAAATAATGTAATTCTTATCAGGTTTAGAATAGGGAGTAGGTTGTTTCAACTGCCATTATCTGCTTTTAAGGGAACAGAATAAAAGGTCATAGCTTGCTGCAAAACAACATAAAAAACGGTAACAAACTGTCTTTTCACATTACATTAATCATACACTATACATAATTCTGTGATGTATGCTTTAACATGACCTATCCATTTGACTGTGATGTAATATATAATGCATCTTTTATTGCACTGTAATTATAAACAGTCTCCCTCCTCCCCCCAAATTCTCCCAGAAAGAAACAGTACAAGTAACGGGTCACTCAAGAGCTGGCAAGCATTCTCCTGTTGATGTACTTAAAATTAACTTCAGATTATTTTACTTATTTCTAGTGTGAAAACCACTTGTGTTCATGTGATCTGCTTCTACTACTACTATAAATACAGGAAAACTATTACAGTCAGCTTCTTACCGTTAGTTACACAATGACAGTACATTTCTACACCACAGGTAAATAATGTCATATAAATACACTCAAATGTTACAACATGAAAAGTTGAAACCCAGAAAATATGACAACTGAAAATTTCTAGCTAGTGGGCACTTTTTTTCCCACTTGGTCCTTCACTTAGAAACAAGAATTTAAAACAAGATATATATGAAGATAGGTTAATTCCAAATACCATGAAATCACTGGACATTTTGCCTTTGATTTCAGTTGTGGCAGGTCTTCAGACCATATGTATTTACTCACAGAACAGGAATCCATCTTAATAAGAGCCTTTTACTACATCTTCATAAATGCAACCCTAAAAGACTAGCTCTTGGAGAAACCAAATACAAAAACACATACATTTCTAAGAGCTGTAATTTCTGAAGCACAAGAATTTTTTAAGCAAATTAATATCTTTAGCTTATACGCAGACAAATATTCACTATTGTTTTAATTAATTGACTCTTGTTTAAAAATTTAAAAGAATGCATTTAAGTAAGAGATGTAGCTCAAAGCCAAAAATTATTAACTGCCTCTCTTATGTAGTCTACTCCACCAGCAAAAAGAAAGTTTATGTATGGCTCTGCTGAGCCAAGATAAATCTCTCATCTGTGCACAAACTACTTTGTTCCACAGCTCTGTTTTCTTCCATCACTGCCCTTTACATATTTGGCAATATTAAAGATTCCTCAAAGTTTTCTCCTATGTAACTTAGTGAACAAAAATTGTAACTTTGACCTTAAAAATTGAAAGCATATGCTAGCTTGTCATTTCCTGGAAAACTAGATAGACAAGAAAAATGTATTTTTCTAAGCTCCCCCCAGTGATACTCCTGAATTTGACACAATTTTGTGTTCATTTTTTATTACCTTTTAAAGCAGGTTTTTACAGCTCCAAAAGAGGCAGTAGAACAGGTTAAAGAATATAACCAAAAGCTAGTTGTGACATATGTGTAGTAAGTGGTAATTTTCCATCTAATCACCCTAGTTACTGCTAACATTTTAGCTAATATATCCAAACACTAATTGTAGGGTGTTATTACATTAAATTGCCCACGAGATGATCCCAAAGCATGAAGTTCAGCTCTGCACCTGAAGTGAAACTTCTTTAAGTTCATCAGATCTAGATCTGGAAATTTAGATACTTTAAAGGCCACCCAGAAAACTTGGAACTAGCTCCCCTAAATTTGGAAGCATTCAGACATGACGATCATTTGGTTTGTGCCTGTATTCTATCATTAATTTAGTTTTAAAATCTATCTCACAAAATTAAATCAAGCAAAATACAACATTCTTTTTTTCCACATTTTACCAGATTAGCTTGTATTAGTTACAACTCAAGGCACAAATGAGTGTCTTCTAACTAATGACTGTACTGTCTGGACCAGACAAGCCATTCAAGTATATACTGGGAAAGTTACGTGGCAACTGGGGAGGGATTAGACAACTCTACATCTTCCTCACTTGATCACACTATTCACTTCCAACCCAAAAAACCAAAAGCACATATTGTAACTAGGAATAAATATACAAATATATATGTGGTATGGAGCAGAAATTTCTTAACTGATACTTAAGGGAAAACTTCAATATTAACTGCCTTCACCAGACATTGACTTCTTTTAAATTTGAGAAGGGATATCAGTTGTGTTAGGCAATGTTCCCACATCTTTTAAATTTTTTTTTCATTACCAAAGGAAAAGAGTAACACCTTCAGCAATGAACTAAAAATCTAAGTTGAAGCTCACTAGTCAAGAATAAAATATAATTTAAAGCTGATCCTAATGCTTTTCTATGAAGGGCTGGTCCCATTCAAAAGCTGTTTCTTGTACATGTTGCTTTCCAGTGGTCCCAAAGAGCCAAACCAGAGCTGAGGATTGTTGTAGAACAGAGGTTTCTGACCATGTTGCCTTATTCCTCATTACAGCAGCAAGTGGAGGGACATTTGGCTGGAGAGAAACTTCACAAAAACCTTTGTTCTGACATAGCACCAACATGGCATCACTCTGATCAGAGTGATCCTCCCTGAGCTAGTTAAGCCATGTTCACATCCAAAAATAATGCTTATGGTACAATACAAAACTGCTGCATCATGCCAGAGCAGCTGTCTGTGTATCTGTAACAGACTTTTTTCAGACTACACAATTTTAACAGCATATAATCTACGTGCTGCAGTCTGCAGTTCATACATAGCATGCTTCTGCCCCATAACGTAGCAGCAGAGTCTAAACACACCAACTAAACTGTCTGTAAGTTAAATTCAAGTTATTCTTTCT